GCCCTGTTCTCCCCTATGTTGGTTGGTTGACGATAACTCAAAGACTAATTGTCTAATAACAATGAAACCTGGTAGGTATTTATACTAATTATGAGTCACTGAACACGTGACGATTCTAATGAGCCTAAACACCCCCCTCCAACCCTCTCATTCCGCGAACTTAAAAACGCACCCACGTATAAGCGCTTGTCACTTTTGAACCAGTAAGGGACAAATTCTGATATTTGACGACAAATTTCAAATAATTAGCGACTAAATTTTTGTGTCTTGTCCATGATGGTGGTCAAGCCAGTGTCAGTGACACCTCGCTTTCAATAATTTTTCAGACATTATTTTGCTTGGATAACGCCCACCCGGTGGCCAGCAGTTGTGCGAGTGAGAAATCATTTTTCATTGATGCTCCGCTTCTGTTGGTCTTCGTATATAGAAATTAAATTATCCCGTAAATTGGCTATTGAATACTAAAAGGAATTTTTAAATTCCTGAGATTCACTTGACTGATTGATTTGACTGTACGGATGGCGTAGTGGTTAAAGCGGTCGCCACGTCGTTTCCTACTACGCTGAGTGTTGTGGGTTCGATCCCCACATGAGACGACACTGTTGTGATCCACAAATTGTTGCTCTGAGTCTGGGTGTTCTTCGTGTCCGTTCCATGTATGTTTGTAAAGTCCCCCACGACACAGGACAAATACCAAACGCGGAAATTGTCTTTTTAAAATTAAAGAAGATTAGCTCGTTCAACCAAACAAAGAAACTCCTCAGCTTTATAATGTTATAATAGATACACAGAAATAATTAAGTAAATTTCATCAATTAGTAATGAACTAACTATTTTTGGTTGTGTTATAAACTCATAAGTATACTGGCAAAAGTATAAGTAAGTAATAAAACCGTTCCGTACCATCATACAAGATTTAACGATAACTTCGTAAAGTCAATCATTTTATGTAAACAGCGCACGTAATTTTTGATTTATTACTTGTTTGTACATACAGCGGCAAATTAACCCTTTTTTTTCTTTTTTTGCGTGCGGAAATTCCCTCGGATACCACCTATCGGTGGCATGTCGGACTCGAACCGACTAAAACCGCACGCCGTCTCGGGTACTAATAGCCGGGGAACCAGGTATACCCTAGAAAGGAAGTCCCTGGTGCCCCGAAGGCAAATTAACCCTGAAAAATACAATTCTTTATATTTTACTACTGTGACTTCATTATGCAATATAGACATATATATAAACACTGCCTTCATAAAATCTAAATCACAATAAAATGTAATAATCATTATTCTTCATCTTTTATTGGTGATAATGTTAATCCATCCGCTCCGATCCATTCAATCCGCTGTTGGCGACTCCTTCGTGTTCAGCACTTTAATACTTCCTTAACCGAAATTTGTTATAAATGTCCGGTTGCATGGCGCACAGTATAGTGGTACGAGGTCCTGGATCTAGTTTTGCGCATTTGTTGCTTTGTGCCCAGATCTTTCGACACTCGTGTTACTGTTCTTAGCCATTCGGGCTGAGACCAGCACGCTCTCAGCTATCGAGGCGAGGTTACGCTTGAGAACATCTTTGTACCAGAGGTGTTGACCGCCAATCAGGTCAGGCTTACTCATCAGTTAGCACTGATGAGTAAGGAGTAAGGAGAGCGGATCCCTAGAGGTTGCAGTAAGGATCGCTCGAATATCAACTTGAACAATACTCCACTGGAAGAAGTGTCGCATTAACCCTATTACAATGGGATTAATAAACTACACTAGTTTCAACAAAAAAAAACCTAAACGATGCAGCCGCCTTCGAGTGATTAAAAAATGCAAATCTCTATATAATTTAAAATCCCAAAGTCGATAGGTCATAAATTCCAAGTCGGTGATTCAATTTTTGTACTGATGCGTTACTGACTAAAAGGACTAAATAAAACGCCCAAATTTTATTACTTTTGACTTTTTATTTACAATATATTAATATTCTCTTTATTTATTTTTTTCACTTTTTTCGTTTATTTTTCAGTTCAGGCACTAAACATATATCCATTTTTTTTTTCTTTAAGCGTAAACACACAGTTTTAACAGTAATGTAAGAACCTCACTTTCAAAAATTAAGTGCAACATCAGTAGCCAAAACCTATTATTGTTAAATTAAATACTTTAGCAAAAATACGCCTTTGGCGAGAGATCATCTGCGCAATAATCTCATTACAATATGGCTTATTTAAGATTTTAACCTAAACTATCAACTAAAACAAAATTTAATTGAGTTATAAACAGGTATTGCACTACTAAATATATGTGAACATTAATATAGCGCAGAAAGAAGCCGAAAACATTATTATTACATATTACCTATACATTATTATCTCTATCTGTTGCTCATTGCGACCGTAAAATAAACGGTCAATGCACAGCAGCATAGAAATATATATTAACTAGCAACAACAATCCATTTAACGGCAAAATATTATAGAAAAGATGATTTTATCTAAATATACCTATAAATACTAACATAAATTTATATATTCATACATATAGCGCATAAAAAGTGAGGTCCGTCAAAGGCATTGAGATGGGAAAAGAGATTTTTTGGTAGTAGGTACAGAAAATGTCCGGAGTGTGCTTTAAAAATACAATTTTAAGTTTTTCATCCAAATCATACAATATTTTGTTCGTATTCGCTAATCATCCTTTAACAAACTCAATTACAATCGCTATTGATATTACACAGGCAATTTAATGTACAGCAACATCTTGTACTTTTCATCTAATAACTAAAGTAAGAAATTCAATCATACCTTATACCGGTAAACAAAAATGAGACGGGAGAGAAGCAGCCACACTAGTAAAGCTCTAAGCTATTTAAAAAAATACAAAAGAACTAATTGTTGTCAGGGTTCTTTTAAAAAACAAAGATAACCAACACACTGTAGATAGAACAAACACTCATATTCAAACCACACTAATAATTGTTTGGTGGGTGGTAAATTTACCTTAATTTTAACAGTGAGGTAAGTTAAATTTGAGCTAGTGGTGGGACACTTGTAGTATTTTTCGTGGAGAAAACTTGTAAGAAAGTTGGAATATTTATCGAATGTATATTAAAATTTAAGAAATGTAAACTATTTGCGCAGAGAAGTTTACTGTTAATAAATATTTATTTTATGACTTGGAGGCGTGAACAAGGTTTATTAGTGCAATCCCAGCAGCATTGTAATTGCTTTGTAGTGTGGCCGCGATCTTAAAATTGACAAAGGTCCAGTCCGCCATAATCTAGAAGGGTGTTGTGAAAACTAGTGCAGGTGGCTATTACAATCACTGTATGAAATTACCAAATCGTAATATACCGAAAATATAAAATGAAACTCTTAAACTGGAAACTATAATAGTTTGGTTTTAAAGCGATTTTTTTTTATAAAAATATTATTTTCTTTTGCCACTTTTTAATTTGAGATCTACTAATTACACTTAATACAAATTCACTGCACATACATCGTGAAAATTAAAATTTACAGGTACTATATTGCATTCATGATATTTCCTGGATACCCATCATTTGTGTTATCAATTTCTGATACGTGCCACTCTTTAGTTCGACTATTGTTTATTAACACTCGCGGTGTTTGAAATTGTGACGATATCATACTGTTAAAAAGTTTGAAAAACCGATTCCAACGCGTAACGAATAGAAAAGCTACAAAAGTTTAACAAACTGCTAAATACTCATAAAATTACAATAACACAACTTATATAAGTTGTATACAAGTGCCAATAAAATAAACAGAATATAGACATTTAAAAAATATTGTAATTTTCTATTGTTTTCGGTAAAATTGTGATCTCATACAGGAGTATATCTATGATTTATAATAGACTTAATAAACTCCCACTGTATAATCTTGGTCTGAAAGGGATATTTGAGATAAAATACCTTCCTGAAAAAATATTAACAAATAATTCAATGCAGACTTTGTAGCAGTGAAACCGAAAAAACACAATTTGCAGCATCACAATATTTTAAATTTTGCAACAGATGAATATTTTAAAAGTTGCTATGATATGATTGCAGTAGAAATTTATGGTCAAACGCACACAAATATTCTGTAAATTGCTTAGAAAAGTGTCAATTTCAGTGTACATTCAGCCATATACTTCTACTGATACACACGATTACACTATTGTTTTAAATCTATACAGAAAGTACTACATGTAACAACCATACACAAATCAAATAAATAACATTAAGTATACCTTAGCCGAACTTTGTTCCGAGTAAGTGCTGATCAAACAACCCGTCTGTGTACAGTACAACTACATACAAACTTCGCTCTGACGTGAGATTATTTTCGAATTAAGTGTTATTCGAAGTCTCCTAATGTATGTAGTTGTATTATGTCACTCACAACAATAAACACGTGACAATAGTGACGGGCGTCAACTATCTGGCAAAGTGTAATGGCAATGTTCCGATAAAACTAATATAGTAGGACAGGAAGAATGATTGGAGAATGAAAAAGGGGGTATGTTTTTATATCTTGACCAAAACGTGCATTATAAAGACTAGTGCTCAAATACAATTTGAAGGGTTCATATGAAGCATGTTGTTCTAATGAAAACGGTCCATCTTTATTCTCTTATAATGGTTAAAGTTAGCGATAATGGCAATTACATTTTTGATCAATCGTTCCCCGACATCGATTTGTTTCACGCAAGTCATAAAGTTACTTCACAATGATCGTCATTAAGTGACACTTGTCATATAATGTATAAATATATATATGGTATTTTTGTAACTTTTTGATCGTAGATGTATGAATGTAAGTGGTAAAGAAATTTAGTACGAAAATCAATTGTGAAAATTATTTATTTGCTCCTATAGACGTCCCTAGTACAAAAACATCTTGGAAAACACAGCGAAGAACAAATTGGATGTAGTTGTGAACAGTATGAACGTGGTTCACGTGTGTGTGTATGAATTGAGATGTGTGTAGAGGTGTGTGCGAGAGATCAGGTGAGGCGGCAGGATGGAAGGCGCCCGCACGACGAGTGCCAGCGGCGCTTGCGTCTACTCGAGTCTGCGTCCGACAGTTCAGCTGTCGATAGTGTTCGTGAACCGCCGTCACCCAGTTCTGAAATACCATAATGCTTTTGCTTAAACATTGCCATTCCTACTTCTATGTATGTAGGTATATAATAGAAGAGGATATTGCAACGCACCGTGACAAATGTTTATTGAATCTCAAATAGTATTAGAGTAAATCAATTGATGATGCAGAGCCGTTAATAACTATTTCATAATTTAATATACTTTTAAACTTTAAGCGAATGATGTCTTCGAACATCGTCTCTTATAATAATAAAAAAATCCACGGTTCGCCTCCAGGTGGGATTAAGAACGTCGACACAAACCGGTTATTTATGATATGGAGATTAGTATATAAAATATGAATCACACAAAAATATAATACGAATATGCTAATCTTACAGCAGATACTTATTAGACTATAAATTAGTTTGATCTATAAAGCCTATAAATTAATTTATTTTCGCAGTAAGGAACATAAGTTGGTTATAATTATAGGCCTGATACAGTTATAGCAGATATTTGGCTGGTCAGTTTCCGTGTAAATAAACCGATTGGGAGGGAGTCAAAGCAAAGTATATGTATATGCGGGAGAGTCGGTCACTCGCATGCAACGAACCTAACTCAAGGAACAAACGCGCGCGCGCACGTGATCGGCCATGCGTAACTCTTCAGACTCTGTAAAATTTCAATACATTCTCAATTTTTATGATTTTGTTTTTGATGTTGCATCAGATTAAACGTATAAAAAAACTGTGCGTTATCATTGCAGATTATTTACAGCTTGAAAGCAATTACATGTGCTGCTGATTATACATAGTATGTGTGCTCATACTCAATGCAAGATATGATATGTGCTGTACATTAATGACATGATAATAAGAAACAAATATATACAGTTTTAGCTTTCACGATGACATTACATTTAAGTAAAGTACCGTCGCTGAGCCAAGCTTAAGTACATGCCGACTCGACTGGAGTGATAGCATGACCTTATAGAAACCCGGTTTAAAGCAACACATTCGTTGCCTTTACCGAGTGAGTGAAGTTACAACAACGAACTTGTGCTTTTGAGTTGCAGGTCCTTTCTGCTCGTTTGCCTCCTACACCACAAAAAACAAGTGCACGATCTAAACTATGCGACATGGATCCGAACCTTTTTAGTAATATTAATCCTCTCCCCTCGCACGCTTTAAAAAAAACAATAAATATTTCGTTGACAGACGTTACTTGGAAAATATCTTTAAGTAATATTAGTAAATAGTAATCCTAATATTGTCTCAAAACTTAATAATGTTCCTCACTAACCGTGTCTCAAGTCTCTCTCGGTGAAGTACTCCTGTGCCGACGGGTAATGCCGTTCCACGAGGTAAGGTATCACTGTGGAGTTGTGCAGCTCGTCCGAACGCCTTGAGCGAGGACTAACCAAACGCTCACCTGAGTCTAATGGCGGTCGAGATTGCAACCAGCTGTAATGAGGAAAATTATATATTACAATAACATCACACATCTCACACACGGCAGTCTGGTCAAAATAAAAATGATCAAAAAGAAATATCAACGGTATTAGAATATGGTTTTCAAACGATCGTAATCGTCGTCTAATTGGTATAAAATTCTGTGTATTAAATAAAATCTGTATTAGTAGTTTAATTGAAACTAAGATACCTATTATATCCTCTTATCATTCATAATCAAGATAAACGTGGATCATTGATTGACTTTGACTTCGCACCTTCGGTTAGACAAAGGCATATTTGCACTTTTTGTAATTTTACAGGAGTCATTTTAAATTTCATTTTCAATAAATGTCGTTTAATTATGTTTATATTAGCCTGTCACTATTGCTTTCTATTGTGTTAATTTAAACTTATTACAATTGTTTGTTTCTGTACAAGTATAATTGGATATTTTTGATTTTTTAATACTCAGTACCTTCGGTTTTTTGGTAACTAAGTTTTTGGAGTTTACTCCTTAAGAATCGATTTTCATATAAGGAGCCCGCTATGAAAAAAATATGACGAGTAAAATTTAGTGCTCGAATGACCTCGTTATGTTTTTTAGTTTTAAATGTAATTTATTGATGGCGATTCAAATATGTACTTTTACGTAGTTGTCATAATATTTTTTGTTTGTTATTAGTTCTAAATTGCAATTTGTATCAGTTTAGTGAGTAGTCCACTGCAACATTAACATTGTTTTAAAACAGAAAAACCCCAAATTAATGGCAATTAGTACGTGACTTCTTATTATTTTACTAACATTTCCATAGCTGATCACTAAATTTGTGTGCAGCCGACAAATTAGTTTTTAGTTTTAGAAGGTTGTCTGGCTCTAATTACATTTTGGTCATTATTTTTATGGTAAAAGGGGGCAAACGAGCACAGGTCACCTGTTTGGGCTCCGGTAGCCTCAGTCACTCTGTGAAAACCAACGAGTGAACTGCTTAAAACCGTTTTTTTGTGAGGCTAGTCCATATGTCGCGGAGCATAGCATTGGCTCATAAGCATCATTTGCAAAAACGACTACGTCCGTACTGCTTACTATCTCATAAAGTATATTTACTTACATACGTATTAGCACATGTTGGTAGGTAGACATGCAATCTCTAAAGTATTGTTGTTTCAAGAGATACAATGTAATTTATATTTTAAGTGTCACAAAAATGTGTCAATTATCTCGGCCTCAATGAACTGACCGCAAGGGCCGATAATAAACTATCGACATGTTACCTATTACCAAGCCATTAATAAAATTATTAATTTTCTCTACGTTATATTTTAATCGCATGTTTTGTTTTGTATGCATTTTTAACTAACGATGTCAGTGACTGAACATATTCCTTGCTTCATAAATCAGAGGACAAAACTGTCTGGTGCAATTTTTTTTTCCTGTGCGGACGTCCCCTCGGACCGGGGATTTATTTTCTAGGATACACCTGGTTCCCCGGCAACTAGTACTTTTTTATGGAATAGGAGGCAAAAGAGCAGACGGGTCACCTGATGGAAAGCGACTACCGTCGCCCATGAACGCCTGCAACTCAGGAGTCACAAGCGTGTTGCCAGCCTTTGAGGTAAGAGTACGCTCTTTTCTTGAAGGTTTGAAGGTCTTATACCGCACCAGAAATACCGCAGCCGATAACTTATTCCACAGATTGTTAGTGCGAGGCAGTGTCTTGAAAAGCGCACAGTGGTGGAGCGCCAATTATCCAAGTGGTGGGGATGAAAATTTTGCCGTGTGGAAAGATGGCCGAAGGTTGCGGCCGGTATTAGTCCGAACAATTCCTCGGAGCACTCTCCATGATATATACGATAGAGAATGCAGAGTGAAGCTACATCTCTACGTAATGCCAAGAGATCGAGCCGGTCGCAAATCTTTTGGCTATCGACGAATGTACCTCGGGCCATCTACGACGTGTAGATGACCCCCTTCTGTGTGGGAGCCCCCATGTCTGCTTAGTGCCACCACCAGGCTTACACTTATGGAGGTCGTTCCTCCGGCGCCTGAGTCGTCTGTGGTACTTAGCCCGAGAGCACTGAACCTCTCCCGGTCTCGCTCCGCCATCTCTTTCGCAAGCATAACTTGCTCGCAGAAGGATAGGGCGGAGTTCCACACACTCTCGCTCTGTACTATGGCAGCAATCAAGTTACCGAGCAAGATAATTCCAACTCCGATGGCCGCCACGAGGCCACGCCTCTGCTTCACCCACGGCGGGCATTCTGCCAGCGAGTGGAGCGCCGTGTCCACGGTCCGGCCATCCGGTGTTCACCTGCGGCAGTCGGTATAAGAGGGTTATGTGATGCCTCTCGAGCTATATATAATCCTCCATAACGGGTCTTACCGCCGCGATGACGGCGTGCCTGACCCTCCATCCCCTATCTATAATCTGTCTTAACTTTCAATCAAATATTAATATCATTACCTAAATCAACAACGATACTTCCTCATCAAGCTTCTGGTTATATTTTATTTTAAATATCACGTACTATTGATAAGTGACACGTAATGGATGTTGAACTGAAAATAATAGTTGAAATACGTGCCGTCTTCAAGGACCCATTAAAACGATAAACATTTTGTTCAAATTACATATTCACATAAACGTATTTACAGCCAAGCATCCTTGAACTTAAGATTATGTTTGCCTACAACAAACACGGTAATGCATACATATTTATGGGTAAACAAGATAATCTTAGCGACTTTGAAGTATTGTTATTCACCTTTAGGATAACCTTTTGAAAAGGAGTTTAGCTAACATAACAAGAAATTCAAACTTTATGAGATGTTCAGGCTAAAATTAGTTATGACAAAATTATGATTCATGCCATCTCGGGTATACAGAGTATATACATTTGTATATAATATTTTTAGAACAATAACGTATAGAAATATTTACTGCGTTCCTGGGCTGTGAATAATCAGTGAGTCATAAAACTGTGGTCGATTCAGCTTGTAAGTATAATATTAATTTAATTATTTACCTTAGGACCGCGTTTTATTTCCTAACCGTTCCATGATTTTTTAATACATAAGTACAATACATAAGTAAAATTGATTGATTGAAAAAAAATATGTTTTTTTCATAGTATAAGGGAGTAACGAGCAGACATTTTTTTTTTTCCGTGCTGAAATCCCCTCGGATATCACCTATCGGTGGCATTTCGGACTCGAACCGACTAAAACCGCACGCCGTCTCGGGTACTAATAGCCGGGGAACCAGGTATACCCTAGAAAGGAAGTCCCTGGTGCCCCGACATACCTCGGGCCATCTACAGACGAGTAGACGACCCCCCCGTGTGGGAACCCCATGTTCCCTCTGCTCCCTGGAAGCGCCGCCAGCCCGGCCTGCTTCTGCTAGGGTGACAGATGGCCTCACCTGTCACCCCCAGGCCTGCGCTTATGGAGGACGGAGGTCGTTCTGCGACCTCCGGCGCCTGAGTCGCCTGCGGTACCTAGCTCGTTCCCGGGCCTGGCGGGCCGGGAGAGTTCCAAACCTCTCTCGGTCCGCCGTCTCCGCCGTCTCCTTCGCGATCATGAGTTGCTCGCAGAAGGAGACGGCAGAGTTCCACGCACTCTCGCTCCGCACGATAGCCGCAATCAGGCTATCGAGCGAGAGAACTCCCACTCCGATGGCCGCCACGAGGTCTCGCCTCTGCTCAACCCACGCCGGGCACTCTGTCAGCGTGTGGAGAGCCGTGTCCACGGTCTGGCCATCGCAGTGGTGGCACTCAGGCGTTGGCTCCTTGCGGATCAAACACAGGTGATCCCCGAAATATCCTTTTTCCAGTGATCACCTGCGTCAGTCGGTATGAGAGAGTCCCGTGACGCCTCTCGAGCCAATCCTCCATAACGGGTCTTACCGGCGCGATGACGGCGTGCCCGAGCAGACGGGGCACCTGATGGTAACTACTAGGGATGGAATAAAATCTCAGTCACCGGTGATAAATCATAAGATTTATTAATGATATTATCACACCTGTTATTAATTTACAAAACCACTGCCACTTATTATTATTACGCAAACGCCAACTCGCGAAAGGTCCAATTCAAAAATTTAATGTCAAGTGATTTTAATGTCATTTTATCTTTGTCTGAGACGAAATCACAATCACATGTAAAATCGCTGTGACTAAAAGCAATCACTTCATCAAATGACCTGACCGGCTTACTTTAGAAGGAGGTACTAAAAGGGCGCCAACGCTCTTGTGACTTGTGTGTGTGTCCATGGGCCTCGGTAGTTACAAGACAAGGGAATTATTGCTACTTTCAAATAATCATAATCTGATATAGCCCGGCAGAGCATAAAAGCTACTTTTTATCAGTCAAGTTTTAACTGTTGCTAATATAAGACCTCCTAAGGTATTTGCCAATTCTCTGGTTAACCAATCTTTTGGTTTACCATGAACTCTAATATTATACCATAATATACCGTTAAGCAAAAGCGGTCAATAGTGACATATGATAAATTATTAAGTTATTTTCTTTTACGAGGTGACAAACTATAAATTATTTTATTAGAAGTCACATTATTTGTACTGGTTTTGTAATATTTATTATTAAAAAATAATTTTACATTATACATTTTCTCTATGTTTTAATGTTTTACGTCACTTTATTTGACACGTCATGGTCACATCGTACATATAGCTTGACAAGACTAAGTTTAGCACACTTGAAAGTCTACACATTTCAATATGAGGATGAGGAATTTACTCTTATGTAGTAAAGCAATTAATTTTTTATCGATAATTGGGTCAAGGAGCATACTGGCAATTTTATTTTAACTCCGAAGACTCCGCTTTAAAACAATGATAGTATACTCATAGTATATTACTCGCTCTAAAATCAAAACATGTAAAATCCTTCAAAAATATACATACGAGTGCCTTCTGATCTCATGTACAGTTGGCCTTAGATCCGGATCTCTCTTCAGCATGTGTGTGAGTAGAGAACCAAGCGTAGGACCTAGCGTAGAGGGGGGAGGAGCCGGCTCCCCACGACCGATAGCTTCCAGCAGTCTATAAACATTGTCTCCCTCGAATGGATACTTGCCTGTAGTCATGTTGTATCTGTTAACAAATAATACATGTAAATTTGCAGGAAGTTTAAACAGCTGATTCAATGAAAAAAAACATTATTGATTTTATATACAAGTATTGTCGCATAGTTTATGTGACAATAGTTGTATATTTAAATCCAACAACGTTTTTTTATGAACCGTAACAATCCTTAGAAAGAATAAAAAACCCAGATCAAAGTATAATATTTCAGACAAGTCAATGTGTTCATCGAATATTTCTGAATTTAATATCTGAATATAATTTTAAAACTGTCACACTCCTTTTCTCTACATAATATACCTTAAAGCAGAATATGACAGCAAAATATACAACAAAAAACAATTATTTATATCAATGAGGTTGTTTAAAGTATATGAGGAAAACATAATAATTGTAATACAGTGGAAACCCGAGTAACTAATTTTTGTCGTCAGGCATTCGGATAAACGAAAATCCGGATAATCGCATGTACGAAGAAAAGCGGTTAATATACGTATTATTGCATAGTTAATACCTACATAATTAAAAACAACAAATAATTACTTATCAACGAAAAGCGATGGTTTTTAAAAGAAACTTTTTCAGTTTACTACCTACGTATTTATGTATATGGACTTGTACATACATAATAATATTTTCTTAATTTAAAAAAAAAATACTTTTTATTGTTTTTAATATTTGATAATTTTCATTTGGAATCATAATAATCATGAAGGAGAAATAAAATATTTAGTTTAATTTGGGTGAAAATAATTGGTTATTGTCATTTAACGAAAACCGCTTCGTCTCTTCATTGCTGCTATATCACGAATTCGTTTGCAGTAAACTCACACTCTGTTTGTCTTTCAAACCATTTGAGAACTGTTTCCAGGGACTGAAGTGCTTCATCATGACATGGTTTTGCATCAATAATTCTAAATCTATATTATTTTTACTATTAGTTTCGCGAATCCGTTTGAGGGATAATCGAGTTACCACTGTATTGCGTATTGAAATCCGACTTATTAAAAAAGGCGGTTTTAATTCGACTGAAAATCTATAATTTTTGTATAACATACCCTAATATTTTCTACATTTGTGAACCGATTTATACTCTATATACTCAAGATGGGTCCAGCTCAAGAGTGTTAAATTAAGAGATGAAGAACACAGTTCATTTATAAAAGTACATTACTGGATACAAGGTACAAAAATCTAACCCTCTGTACACAAAGGGCTCTCAATAATCCTATAAAAGGTCCACTCATAAATAGCCTTCATTCCATTTTTGTCAACTTACAATGTGACTCCACTACTCCAGATATCTACTTTGACGCCCGAGAACTGCTCAGCCCCATTTGCTATTTCTGGAGGTTGAAATGCTGGAGAACCCTGTCCAGTGTAACAGGTATCTTCAGGCGAAAACATATCTAACGCCTGAAAATAATAAATTCATTAAAAATCAGAACTTGATTTGTTACATTTCTCATATAAGTAGTTTAGTAGTAGTCATATTAGTAGTTTCTAGTCGTTAAGAACGTAATTTTTGACCTGTAGGGTAGCAGACCTGCGCAGGCCTGGGCCATTCCACTGGTCCTCCGCTAGGTTTAATCACGGGAAAAAAAAGAGTAACAGGTCTTTTTTCGTGAGGAAACTGTTACGGTTCTGCACCCACCAGAGTCGAGAGTAAGGGATGTGTAAGACTCGAACTGACTAAAACTACACAGTGTTCAATCACAGTCTATAGAAGGAGACTCGGGATACCCTGATAAGGAAGGCACAGAGAAACTCAGCAGAGTAAAGGCCATTTGATAAACAGGTGACCACATTGTGATGTACAGGAAGCCTAACCCCCTCAGAACCAAATAGTGTGTGACCTTTGTGTGCATGTTTATCATGCATGCTAGCCTAAAGAATAAACTATGCCTTTTACTTTAAAAGACGATCATTGTAGTAGTGTCTGGAATAATTAAAATATTTTTGTTTATATTACAATTAAATTTAAAAATTTAAAAACCCTTGACACTGATTCTACTAGTCAATCCTTTTCATTTGATACCCATACTGAGGGAGTTGTGAAAAAACATGTTATCCGCCATTTTGTGGGGCCAGCCATCTTGAACCGATTTTCATGAAACATAGCTAAGAACACTCCCGACTTATTCACCTTTGAAACAAAGAAACAAACAAAATGAAAATCGGTTCATCGGTTCGGGAGCTATAATGCCACAGACAGACACACACAGACATTTAGCAATACAATTAATCCCAATTAAACCTATTGGGCTGGGTACTGCAAAACTTGCTATACAAGCAGCATTAAATGTTGACAACCAAGTGAGATCTTTTTACCCTTTTCAATGAGATAAATGGGTCTCTGTACCATAAACTGATCTGCTTAAGGCCCTATTTATACCTACTACTTCAGGTATTGATGTTTGTCATTGATATTAACAGCAAGTAAGTTATAGAAAATTAATTAACTCAATACATATATGTGGCAGCTAAAAATAGTTTAGATCCAATTAACTAACTACATCAATATTTTGCTTTTGCATGTTGTAAGGCAATTATTTATAATGCTAATGTGGTATATGTATTACTACTGAAGATGTTTGGTAAACATTTTGTTAAGTATATATTTTTTTATATTATTTTAGTAAATTATTTTTTTAATCATAAATGCCAAGAACTAAGCTAATCTTAGTATGTAGTTAAAATCATTCATTCTATTATTGTTAGTAACCAAATTTTGTGTAACACTTAGGAGTTCCATCAAAACCTAATTGTATTCAAACTCTGAATATGTATTGTAAATACTGTCACCATTACTCAAGAAATGGCATCTTTTATAGAAAATGATAATTACTTGACACATTTTACACATGGCTGTCTTATCCAAACTAGGCAGAGAATGTATTATGGTGACCACAACTCATAACCTCTGGCTTATCAGTCCGGATCTTTTGCCTACAGCTCCTCGCGTGTATATGTTGGTTATCACAGTAAAATTAAACTATGTTCTCCCCCATAACTCAAACTATCTATTTACCCAATTCTATCTAAATCGGTCCAGCAGTTTAAGCGTGAAGAGGTAACAGACTGACAAACACACTTTCACATTTATAATATTAGTATGAACGGATTTACACAAGCTAAATATGAACTGTGTACAATCCTATTGGAACAATAAACCTATGATTTTAAATAATATTCTAGGAAGCATATAGTATGGTATGTGGTATGACAAATATTTTAAGCACTAAAAAAGCTATGTTTACTGGATAGCATAAAGTGATTACCATCCTTATAGCAAAACCACCTACTTTTACACACATCTATATTTACCTCAGCAACACCAAAATCTGTGATTTTCAGTGTGTGATCCAATGTTAACAGTAAATTTCCTGGCTTGATATCCTTGTGGACTACTCCTTGACCGTGTAAATACTCTAAACCATCCAGTAATTGTGTAAAGTAGTCATGAGCTTGCCGCTGAGGAAATTTCTTGCCGGGACTTCCTTCCAGCATATCCTAATGTTAAAACCATAAACATTAATGTTATATTTAAGGGGAGATGGATTATGTATAAGAATCACTTCATTAGTCTAGAACTTACTAAATAACTTATAATTAGCATGCATAGAAAGTCAAATGACTTTCTTTATCTATGCACCTAGTACCTCACATAGACTCACTTAAAATGTGATGTAAAACCTAGATTAAGAATTGTTATTTGTAATTGTATCTGTGTGAAGGAGAATAATAAATATTATTATTATTATTTATAGCCAGTGTTTCAAAAATTATTACATTATACAAACTTAAGAAAGTTTTATTCCCAAGCTTTCTATTCAATTACTACTTCATTAGCTTATTCTCTATTACAATGTGGATAAGCTTTCTGTTTAAATGTTAGTTCAGGGAATTCTTCAATCATGAGATCTAAATATATATAGGTCAGATAATATCTATGTGACAGGACTGACCAGATTACTACAAGTTTGCACTCCTATATTTTTCTTGCGAGACTAATTCTACCAAGAAATTTGATGTATTAAATTAAATTTTTATCAATCAATAATAAAGACAGAACAATAACGAATTAAAATCACATACCTGTAGCACTCCAACACAGAACTCCATAACAAGGTACATTTTTTGTTTCTCATCATTATACATAACATCGACTAGTTCTATCACATTTTTGTGTCTAAGTATTCGCAATAATTGTATTTCTCTCTGTACATTTTGTTCTCCATTTGGTATTCTTCTTAGTTTTCTCTTTTTTAATATTTTTACAGCTCTTCTACACAGCGTCTCTGAATCTAACATTTCTTTAACTTTGCCATACGAACCTTCCCCTAATACATCGCCCATAACATACTTGCCAACCATTTTGCATTTTTTCTTCTTGCTTCTATATATTATATCTGCGCTATCGACTCTATGAAAACAGAGGTTGGTTTGGTCTAAATTAAGATCTAATTCATCTATTTGATCATTGTCGAGCCAAGTCACAGAGTGAGGCTCGTCGCTACCTACAAACATTAAATTTTCATCGCTCTCTTGCGGTGCAATGATGTTTGATACCTCAAATTCCACATCATCGGCGTCTGGAAGACTTTCACTACTACTGATTTTCCTACACATTCTTGGATCCATTATCTATCAAAACAACACATTTGTAATTCTGTGCGTACTGCAAGGCCTTTTGTCATGAGATCATGAAGGCTATATCAAAATAATTTTACTTATTTAAATGACACATCTCTCTAAATTCACACCATCGATTTGGACAAAAATCGTAATATAAAAATTATACTCTTTTTATTGTTCTAAAATGTGATAGTAAATAAAACTGTGAACGATCGCGCAAATGCTCCATTAGACAAGAACCACAGATAACAGATTATTTGTTTGTGGAATTCGAAAATACAAAAGTTTGATATGCATGTGTAGTGGCCAACCTAACGGAAGGAATTCGATTTATATTAGTCGATTTTCCTCAACTCGAGCTTTTTAACAAGATGCAAGATAATGCATTATGACAATATGAGCAACTGCAAAGAGAAGGAAAACCAACCCGTCTGGGTAGCGTGGTATATATAGGAGGCCCATCTTCCATTCTAAGGGGAGGCCTATATCCAGCGGTAAACTAATAAAGGCTGTTGATGTGATGACTCGTTCATATCGCGTAGTACAAAATGTTGCTTTTGTCAATTTAAAATATTTTCTCAGTCTATCGAAAAATGTGTCTTCAGGTGTCCCCTATTACATAAAAACAAATGAATTGCTAAAGATTGAGACAATATAGGTTTGTTCACCACGTTTTAAGTAAATAAATATATACTTTTTATGGAACTCACAAAATAAGTTGGCCTCAACATATACTCATTTCTTATAGATTAGTTAAATCAGTTAACTATATTCGTATCCTTAACATGTTCTTATTTGATTGGTTAGTAGGTATTTTCAAACGCCTGACTGCGGCGCGTAGTGAGCATGTGAATTGATAGAGTTTTAAAGAAGGATCCAGGTGGTAGGTCATTAAGAGCTTCTCAAGAATCCTGACTTCACAAAAATGACCCTCACCCATACTGGGTTAAAAGTTGGATAGCTAGGGGTGTCGACCGTACTTTATGTTAATACTACTATCCTACTCTAATAACTATTTCAATACTCTGTTACTTAGTTGTTCAATAAGATATTATTTTTTATTCTTTTGGCCTGTTGTTGCAGTCTGATGGTTAGCGGTCCTTAGTGCTGACTGCTAAGCCAATGGTCGTCAATTTTTTTTGCACTCAAGACAAATATTGAGTAATGAGTTGATGAGCACGATCATTTCTCCTATACTTAGATGTAGAAGATTCTTTATACAAAAATAAATAAATAAAGAAATATGTTTTTAAAAATATTCAAACTTGTTTATCTGTTAAGGGTTCGATATAATTTGAAATCAAGTGACCGTGTAAGATGTGACAATCAATTTTTTATTATTATGTAACTAGCGATCTGACCCGGCTTCGCACGGGTGCAATGTCGATATTACTAATATCAATCAATCAATCAATTTATTTTCATTGCGAACATGGGTTTACAATTAGGTGTTTACACTTTAAAAATGTTCTGCCATATCCTACCTTTAGGCATGCAATAAGTTTACATTAAGAGTGAGTTTGAGCTTATTTATATACATTATTAACATACATCATAAGAGGTCAGAATTATATTTTCATGTCAATATCAATTACAATAATATTATTAGAAAATTTAAATTTCATAATTGTAATAAATAATGTATCACATTTATTAAAACTGTATTAATAGTAGGTTGTATATAATTCAATGCATGTTTTAATAAGAACAAACTTATTAAAACATGCATTCAATTATATTTTCTCCGTTAAGAACTCAGTTACAGAATAGTATGCTTTCATTCCAAAAATTCTTTTAACTTACTTTTGTATGCACTTACTTGTGTTCAAGTTTTTTCCGTTGTAGCGGTAAATGATTATAAATTACTGGAGCCATACAGAAAACACTTCTACGCATAAGTACAGTTTTTGCTTGAAGTAGGCGCAGTCTACTATTATCACGTCTGTTCCGTGAAACCGTATCCTCAAGCCGTTTAAATAAGCCTGGATTAGTTTTCACAAACATTGACATTTCTAAAATATAAATGCTTGGCAACGTCAATACTTTATATTTCTGAAAGTAAGTTTCACAGCTATCACTTGTTTTTAGTTTAAACATCGACCGTTACATCTCTTTTGACACTTAAAGCAATTAATGTATCTGTATGTAACAATGAGGAAGTAATAGGTCAATGGTATGTAACGTAAATTTGAGGCAACTAAACTGTAATATGCAGTGATCACGGTTTCTGTATTGACAATAGACAACGTATGCAAAGCGTATGCAGAACTACATAATTTTTTGCAAAGCGTCTGTATATGTGATTTCCAATCTACTTTTTTTAACTATCGTTAACCCGAGGAACTTCGAAATCGTAACATTTTCTATACTGTGATTATCAATGTTTATATTTTATTATATATATGTATTATTGATTGGAGGACCCGTTGACTGAAATGTATAATCTTAGTTTTACTTAAATTAATTTTTAAAATTGTTAATGTCAAGGCAGTTTATTATAGTTGTCAAGGAATTGGTAATGTCCTATTTAAATTGAATTATATCATTATTACAAGATATTGTAACTGTGCTATCATCTGCGAAAAGCGTTACAGTATTTGTTGTACATTTTGGAAGGTCATTAATATATAATATAAAAAATAGAGGTCCCATTATATATATTTAGAATACTACTAATGTGGTGTCAGTATGGAATAATTAATTATACTATTATTATGATAGGATTATACTACAGGACATCTTTATATGCAATATTTATAGGCCCGCTCCGTTCTGCCGGCCGCTGCCACCCGCGACGGACGCACGGCCCGAAGCTGCGACCGCTTTCACCCCGCATGTTAAACCTCTAAAAACTTTTAAAATAATCATTTTAAAGATATGTTGTATGTTACGCTATATGTACAGAATCTACATAAAATGCACAACGTATCTAACATAAATAATAATGTATTGTTTAAAATAGCTTCGTACATGACCCATTTTTTAAATCATTTTCAAGAAAAAAATGGTTACGGGCTCGCAAAACCATGTTGTTTTAAAACAAATCTTCGAAATTCTTGGATTTTCCCTACTATAATATGCGTGTATTATAAATATAAACCTTCCTCTTGAATCACTCTCTCTATTGGTGAAAACCGCATTAAAATCAGTTGCTTACTTTAAAAGATCTAAGAATACAACACAAAAAAGCGACTTTTTTTATGCTATGTAAATATATATTATAGATAAAGCATATATTTTTCACTCTTAGATGTGCAAGAGTGTGGCGTACACTAGACTGTCGTAAATTGAACGGATGACCAGTATAAATGTCATTATATTTAAAATCCCTTAAGAGATCACTACTAGATTACATAGTAAAAAAAGTCGGCTCCATACTCCTTTGTAGCTTTTAGTTGTGATGTCCGCCAGGGAGTAGGGACCTCTCTAATTGAACTTTAAATTATTTATGTTACACTGGTGTTAGAAAATTACATGTTTCAAGTGCTTCTAAGGCATGCAAAATTATACAGTGTAGTTTATAAAAATCAGGATCAGGATGGACACTGAAACATTAAAAAAGTTAAATAAAAATATTTTAAGATACCTATTAAATTAATGCAATGTCCTTCTTAGAGTTATAGTAATACAGGTCAATTATTTATTATATATGTATATATATACAGGTCATATATTTAAGGTAATTAAAAGCTATGTCTTATAACTGACAGTTTTTTAAATTTGCATTCTCTGATTATTATTACAAGGTAATAAACACACATTTTAATATATGTTTTCATTATCATTAATAAATATTTATCGGCCCATGAGTCACTGGTGTTTTGTTGATTACTTTAAGGACCTAATTAAACCTTTCGAGTCTAGTAGCCTAGTAGCTAGCTTTTTACAAGGGTAGAAGTAAAAATCTATATTGAAAACAATAACAAAGAATATGTTTAAAAATAAACGTACAAATAAAGTATAATTATTGAATTATTTTACAATAATTCTTAATGTTTATTTTATATAATGCGGATACTTTTAACTATATATCATTAGATAAATTGATTTCGATTTATGGATAAGGTAAGAACACTTATTTAGTTCACTTCTTGTATTTTCCTTCCATCTCCTTTTTGAGCAGAGCTAACCGAGTTAAGCAAGCATCCCGCCAAGCGCGTCGTTCAGGCAACTTTTCTATTGGAACCATTTGGTTCAGCTGTTCGCAAATGGTGTCAGCACTTTTGCTTGCGGTCATACGCGGAATTTCACCCATGGTTTTGCTTACGTTGTAAATGGTATCGCCGTATCTGCAATTTTCAAAAACATTTTAAAATGTTAGTTCTAGTATTGGTGATGTCTAGTTTCTTAGTTACTCTATAACTTTTGGAACTATATTTGTCTAAATATATAGGTATAGTATATGGTATAGATTTTTTTTTAAATTTCGGCTTTGAGAACAATATCATCACAATACAATAGTGACAGAGGCAAAATTATCTGAGCAACTTGTGATATTGCATCAGTATTATACTTACGTTACGTACATTAAACAAAAGGGAATCATAAGTGACAGCATAATATTACATGATATACTATTAATATTACATACACTGCTCGATTAACTTGCGTTCTTAAAATTGAATTTACAGACCTTTCAATGTAGCTCTTCATGCCTTCAGCATTCAAGTGTGCGGTCTCTAGTGATCCAAGGAAGGCGTACCTCATGCCAAGACCTTCCGAAATCACCTTGTCGATGTCTTCAACGTTTACGATTTTGTCATCCACTAGACGCCATACTTCATTAAGAATCGCGTATCTGTTAAAACATATGAGTGACATGAAACAGTGACTGGAAAAACGGTGCATTTTATCTCCTAACCTAACAAACACTTACGGATTCGTATCGATTTAAATAAGCTGCCATATTTGCACTTGCTGCCAGAACAATGTACTAGTCTGTTCCTATGCGTGTTTTTGGGAAAGACAACTTATCCATTTCAAGTTCGACACTTATCAATCAATGTGACGGCCTGTCGGCGTAGTGTACGTCACTTCACTATAAATACACACGTTATGAAAGTTATGAAAGTTACTATTCTAAACTAAAAACTTACTGATATTTAGATACTTACTGTATACGGTTGAGGACAAATCCGTCAATTTCTTTGCTGAGAGAAACGGGAGCCTGGCCTATTTCCAACATGATAGCCCTGGTTTTCTCACATACATCTTTCCTGGTCCAGGGCGCAGGTACAATTTCTACAAGAGGCACGTAGTATGGTGGGTTCACGGGGTGGGATACGATTACCTGTAATATTAGGAGGCCTACGATAAAGTACTGTTTAAGTTTACTTCCTTACTGCATGATAGACCCTTAATCAATTTTCTGTCTACTATCTAAACTTAAACTTACTACCACACTACTATCATAACTACTAATATAGTATACTGCTAAAAAAATCTGTAAGTTAAGTTCTAGTAAGAAAAAAAAGTAGTCACATTCTGTGCGACTAAAAAATCTTGTAAGTTAAGTTGAAGTAAGAAAAAAGAGTAGTCATATTCTGGTCACTAGTTTCGGCAAAAATCTAGACTAACACTTCTACGACTTACGAAGTACGCGACTGCCGTCCATGAGGACTTTAAGATTAACTCCAAGACCGGTACAAATTTTATACGGTTTTTCTGAGAAAAAAATAGCCTATGTTACTCTTTATATAGACCTACCGTAAAATTTTATTAAAATAGGTCTAGCCGTTTTGAAGATTACCCGAAACAAGCAGACAGACAGAAAAAATATTTGAACTGGTTTTTAGGCATAGGTATCGTGCAAATAACCGTGTGAGCATGAAAAAAACCTATTACAAACAGACACTTCAATTTTATTTATTTGTATTAAATTTATTATAGCCAGATACTGAAAAATTTAAATGACAACTTGCCTGTGCTCTGTGTTTTAAGTTCTCAGAGAACAGGGACGGGAGCGTGGTGCTAGTTGAGCTCGAGAGAATAGTAATATCGTCAACAACTTGATCAAGATTTTGGAAAACTTTTTTCTTCAAATCAAGGCTCTCTGGGACACATTCTTGAACAAATACGGCTCCTTTCACTGCCACAGCTAAGTCGGATGACCCTGGAATAAGATACAAGAGAAGTGAAGTGTTTATAATAAGTGCGTTGGGTGAGAGTTTTTAAAGTAGCTTTCGGTTTAAATATCATCCAGATAACATTACAAAGTAAGTGTACTTGGCTCGTCCGAAATAAATATTTTAGCTTTCTGTATTTCTTCTTCCTATAAACATTAAGTGCATCATATTTGTTTAAAAAAGAAAGTATTTGTTTCACGTATCAATATATACACAGATACCTAACAGCGATATAGATTAACCAGGTAAATCGTAGGCCGAAACCTCCTTTCTAAGAAGAGGACGAGTAAAGGCTGTTGATGTGATGTGATGTAAGGTAAATCAAGAACTACGTAAAGTAAAACTTAAGTGCCACAGGTCTTAAGCAGAACATAGATACACACAAATTACAATGGCTTTTATATTATTATCATGTAGGTACTTAATAAATGTGTTGTTAATAGAAAAAACTACACATTATCCATCATCTTCAGTGCTCATTATTTCCTGGTTACATAAATGAACGAAACCCTTGTTCTGTTCAACAACCATTGTAATTTATTATCAGTTCGTACTATATATGTAAGTATACGAGTAAGTAATACTTACTAAGTAAGTACATAATTTCTTACAGTATATTTTATATTATGTGGATCTAGATCTTCTAGAGAGCTAGGTAAAACACTTAGTACCTACTTTAAATACTAGAGATTGCCTGTTGTCGAATTTCGGCTATTATTCATTATGGTTTTAATTTTCTGGCTTATTTAACTTAAGTGTATCGTTGTATAGACCTAAATAGGCCTATACAATGATACCATACCATACTGGACAAACTGGCAAATGTAATTTTTTATTTTTTATTTAATTTATAATATTAGTATAGATTTTGTTAAATAGTGTTTACAGCATAAAATTAATAGCTTATATTTCCACAATAATAACAGATCTCGCACACCTATCTACCCACTCAATACTCATTTCAGGTCTTATCGTTAACATTAGACACGATAATTATGTATCGAGTTCTAAGCGTAATATGTACATTACAATTGTCATAGGTAAACGTAATGGCATGCATTAGCTGTGTGTACACAGATTTTGTCGCTAATCTCTGATATTTATGTGGACACAATTTGGATTTAATGACATGAATATCTCTTTCAAGAGGGTCGAAAATAGTCTGGAGAGAGTTCAATTTTGAAAGTAACCCCTTCTTAACATTTTTTTCTTTTAAGCTTCAACAACTGAACAAAAACAAATTATTTTTATAAAAACAACCACAAGTTTTCATATGGAAATTTAGGTATGTAAAAGTAGAATAAGTTAATTTTCTGATTACCAAATGATCAATATAAAGTTGCCTAAACCGTAAAACTAAAAAGGTTACCAGAAAAAATATAAACCTTTTTTTAATAAGATAGTGGTGAAATAGGCACATGGGTAATGACGGTAAGTGGTTACAGCCACCTGTAACTCAAGGGTCACAATAGCGTTAACGAATTTTGAGCTGGAAGTAAACTATGTTCTTTTCATGAAAGTTTGAATGTCGTATAGATCTGGCAATACCGCAGGGAACGATTTGGTTCACAGTTTGTTTTACTAAAAGTTTCTAGAAAAGCGCACAGTGATGGAGTTCCAATTATCTTATCAAGTGTGTGGCGACTTCCACATACGGTGAACAGCGCCTTGTAACGAAGACACACTGAACTATGGAGTAATTGCTAATCCTGTATCGCGATACGAAGAATTTTCTCGCCGAATAACAACATACAACTTCCCAACATCAACTGCAGGGCCCCGGCCCGCCAGGCATGATCACCTCGCCTGTTCGGAGGATCCTCCCTTAGTGTTGGAGGGACATGCCACCCGTTCCTCCACAAGTGATTAATATATAATTAAATAATATGTAAAATATACATATATGTAATATATATAATATACATGAGTACTTCTGAGAAGCGTATCTACTCGTAGTGTCAAAAGTATTCTAACAGGTTCAGTTCAGATCGGTTTGATCCTGCAAACTCTTGATGGCAAGACCTACCTACTTCCCTACTTCCTTTGATTGCCTACTTCCTTTAAAACTTTCCGTTTAATATACCAGAGTGCTTATCCGTTTTAGCAGTTATGTAGGACTAGTTTTTGCAAGCTGCTCTCGCTGTTTTCGCAGTAAAAAGAAGTCTATGTTACTCGTTGATAATGCAGCTTTCCATTGGTGAGAGAATTTTTAAAATCAGTTTAGTGGGTTATGCTTGAAAGCGTAACAAACAAACTCACTTTCACATTGGTAATATAAGTATCTAGCAGTAGTAGACATTTAAACGTATATATATATATACGAAAATACTGATTAAATAAAATATTTAGTAATAATTAAATATCAATCATAATTGTATAGTATGTATGAATCTCGTTTAGATAAGTCACAACTGTCATCTTATCACTCACAGTAGTAGGTAAAATATTGTGATATTATTGTTTACAACTCTTGATAACAATGTCTACATGTCAACCGAAAAGCGTTGAACCGAATGTAAACAGTTTGAACGGCTTCACTAACGCTTTATTACGTAATGACGTGGCTTTACTTTAAAAAAACAAAAACGCGTTTCAATATACAAGCTATTAACCACAGTAATAGGTAGAATTTTTTATGGCAGGAATAAAATATGTTATAGAGTAAAAAGACCAACGATATTATCTATATACAAAAAGACATGAAACTCTTGTGGACTATAACCGCGACGTCGATGACATTTCAAAACACGCTTTTAAACGAAATAATATTGATGATGTGGTTATTTTTCTTATGTTGATTCACCCAGTATCCGTTACAAAACCCACTACCATCATGTCGTCTGTTATTAAAAAAATACATTTTACAATTCCTGCTTTCGTAAGACATTTGAAAGACATGAAAGTGTTTCTGTAACTAATGTCTGTCACATCAGTTGTCGGATTCCACTACAGTGTACTCGTAAATATGCCTATCAGCTTTTCATGCCTTCTTCTTCTTACTTATCAAAGGTTCAGTCCTATAACTATTCACCGAAATTCATTAAGATTAGTTTGGCTGTTTAGGCGTGAAACGACATAATTACGTTAATTTCGCATTTATAAAATTAGTATTCATAGTCTATTTCTCTAAAACAAGTGAAGCTATAACAAATATTGGAATAGCGATTTTAGAATTCTATTTAAAATGTTGATTCAAGTACTTTTGTACTTATTTTAAAAAGGAGGAAGGTATATTTTTTACTACATGCATTTTTTATATAAATAGACCTTCCTCATAATTGTTACCGGTATTTCTGTCATCTATGGACCGAATTTATTTTTGTTTATATAATTTTATTGCTATCTCGTTGATATATTGAATTGATCCATTACATCATCACATCTCATCTACAGCCTTTAATAGTCCACTGCTGGACATAGGCCTCTCCTTAGAAAGGAGGTTTTGGCCTACTATACCACGCTGACTAGACGGGTTGGTATAGGGTTTGTTTCAAGTTTTCTACTATTTGCAGTGGTGTTGTCCTGTGCAGTTAGTTCCCTTAGTCGGCTCTTACGACACCCACGGGATGCATTAGGGTAGTGACATTCCGTATTCTTAATCCGTCACCACACGGAAACATGATCCGTTAAACATGCCTAATATAAGTTGTAGGTACCATATAGTAATAGTTTAATTAATCAAGAATTTGTGCTTTATCTAGAAACGAATAATAATAATAATAATAATGAATAAGAAAATAACTACAAAAATTGGAGCATATTAAGGCCTATAAATATAAAATTTCAATGTCTTCACAGAGAAGTATTTTTGGTTAATACCGGTAATCAATAACACTACAAAAAATGTATACGACCACGACATAATTGAGATAAACAATAAGTTGCATTCAGAACCATAGATAATTAAATAAATAGAATTATATAATTAATTAAAAATATGTTATAAACCATTATTATATTTCTATAACCTCTACTGAGTTGTAATAGCGTGCACAGAGTATATTGACCTTAATTGCACTTCCATTTACTTCACGTGAATGGAAGTGCAATCGAGAATCGCTTTTACCTATTTTCATGAATAAATTATTATTCGTAGTATTTTCCTCATCGTATTTAGTAGCATTTAAACAAACTTTTTCTTATTACCTACTCGTATATGTAGTGAATTGACGGAGTCAGTTTGTTCTAACTTTGAACTTTAATTTACACTATTAAATTTAGAAGTCCCGATTTTAGTTTTACGAGTATCCTATTACTTCACTCATATTAATTTATACAATTAATCTTTAATAATTATTTTCAACATTTAATTATTTATACCTTAAAAGTATCTAACAATTACCTTTGATGCATTGGTACTGTTGGTCGGCATTCAATTTACCGCGCAACAGGCCGTCTTTTTCTAAGGTTTTCAGTTGCGTTTTAATGTCGGCCAAGGCGTCAGTAACCTGCTGTGGTATGATATCGTATACCGTCACCTGGTATCCAACTGATGCGAACAACATTGCCCATGATCTGCCAATCAGCCCACTAGAAAATCAAACAGGCTTAAATGATTTAATTGACCTCCACGAACTTATAATAGAAGGTTGACCTTCTGCTTTACATTATACAATGAACAGAATAAAAATATAATAATGTAGTTCAAGCGAGTGTTTTTGGTATTTCAGTGTTTGGGAGTAGGTCCTTCATGTCAGCTAAGTAAATGTAGTGCAATACTTTATAGTATTTTGGTGGCCTTCTCATACTGCTTAATATTAGCGTGATGCGTAATGCATTTTACTTGCGTTTTTAGTAAACTACATAGCAGTTTACTTTTTGGTGTATTTAAAAAAAGATTGCAGGATGTTTATTGCGTATAGTACGTTATTTTTTGTGTAGATTGAACGATTTCTAACTTTCTACCGATCAATGTAAATGGATAATTATAGTGTCCAAAGCATGTTTTAGTTTGTACTATTCTCTTCGCCTTCGCCCTTCGATCAACAATAGCAACTGTTGATCGAAGCCTTCGCCATACCTTCCCATATCTTATATCTTAAAATTCTCGTCACCAACGGCTTCAACCTCTAAATCAAAGCATTTTCGGAAATTTCATGTCGGGTCGGCGCATTATAAATTAGAGTATCAGAGGTTATTAATAGAAGATTTAAGCCTCCTGTCAAGTAGTGTGTACGTAAATAAACATTATTTGTTTAATATTAGTTAGGTCGGTCTTTAAGAAATCAGATATTTCAGATTTTTTATTTTTTTGTGAGCTTATTTGATAAGTAACTAATTAGTTCACAAATTACCTAATTAATTAAGTATGTAAACCAATCTGAGAGGTTTCTTTAATTTATTTGTTACTGTTGAATCGAAATGAAACTGTATGTATGTGTAGATTTGATGATAATACTATAATTTGGTAGTATGGAGTTTATTTGATAACAGAGCTGGGACGTGGAAACGACACTCTTTCTAGGCAACCTGTCAAGTTTGGCCTCGTGTGATATATTTTCAAAAGACTAAAAGAGGAGTAACGAATGGTCTCATGACGAAGCCTGGGATATTGAAACTTTCTACTTTTAAAAAAAGGCGTGTTAGTTTGTGTAGGCCATAAATCAATATTTTTGGAATATAACGTTAACACATCCCATACAGTATGACTGTCCATTATATCTCTGACCAAGTTATTACAAAGATGCTTTAAAATTTTATATTTTATTTCGTGCTATATTTATGGGGCCACAATGTTGCCCCAACTTGTGATAACTTTTATTTATCTTCAAACTAACCTCTCCTTGAACTTTCCGATTTATATAATGTTATCTAGAAATAATTAAAAGATCGTAATTTTGTAAACAACGTTTTGTGATCATACGTTCTTACGTGAATGTTTACTTACTTACATAATATAATAAGTTGAAAAAGTTTTCAGGATTATTATGGTCATGATTACAGCCCTGATTAAATATACGTAGGTATGTATGCTAACACACTACTGAGGACAGGCTGCATCTCTCAATGTAAAGATGGTTAGCTACAAACTAGATACGGGTTTAGTTTGAATTGGCAAACTTAATGAATGTTTTATTATTGTATTTGTATTTTGTATTTCTGAGGTTATACAATCAACAGATAATAATAATGGTGTAATCAGTTACGCAGGTTTACTCAAAATGTTTCTTTAAACCAACTTTTACAATGTAATGAGCAATAAAAAATAAAAAATGAATGAGAAATTCTGAGTAGATGATAAGTTGATAATACATTTCTTTCACATAGTTAAGATTAAAAAGTAAAAAAATTGATGTTCAATCCGTGGCCAAATTTGAGGCAGGTACTTTTAGAACTTTTACTTTGGAAGAAAACTTTAAACTTTTAAGACAGATATGATAACGTTAAAATGACGATAAAAACGACTAGCTTTATCTGTAAGATACTATTCTTGTAGGTTCAGGGAGGTTGAAAGTTGAAATGCTGGACAAACAAAAATTGTTTTTGTATAGTTAGTTCTGTTTGTCTTCACCGTAATGTGAGAACGTCGAAGGGTGAAAGAAACTGAGAATCCATTAGATGTCCACGACTTAAATATTGTAAACAAATTCCTGACTGATGTTTGTGTCGATGACCTCTCAGAATAGTAACATGCTAAGTAATTCTTAAATTTAAAACACAGTCTCAAGAATATACATCGTTTGCTATTTAGGAGGTTTAAGTGGATTACCTAATCATTTTAACACAAAATAAATCTACGATATCATGATGTTACGGATTTTGTAAACAACAATAATATCTGTATAAGTTTGTATTTAATATGTTAATTTAATTTAGTAAACACTTGCCTGCCAACAATGCCGACTTTATCACTTTTTGTGGACGCCATAGTGAGCGGTGTTATGTCCTTGCAATACGGTACACGACTAACGAATGAAACCGGCACACAGCGACCGATACTTAAAAACTCAACTAAACTAGTTATCGCTATTACTTAATGCAAGGTTACTTTTTCATTTTGATCTTCTCAAAACCAATATAATCAGCATCTATAGTCACAGTGATTCAGTTCGCAAGGGAACAATATGCAACACAGTGCTGCTGCAGTTTTACATAATTAGGCTTTATACGCTGATAGACTACAGCTACTAGGCTAAGGCCATAATTAGCTGTTGATGGAATATTTCTCATAATTGAAAGAAGAAAATGTCAACTGATTTTTTTTTAAATTATTGATATATATCAATATATTCCGGGTGAAATAATATTTTTATGCTTCATTCATGGTTTAGACATCGTTGTTTTGGAATCGTAAGAAAGATTTGTGACTTTTCTTAGGACGGGAATTAATGTGTCAAAGCTCTGGTGCGCTGGCGGCAATGAGCCACTGCAATAAATACACTGAGGTTGTAAGAAAGGAGTGGAGCATGAATTGTTGAGTTTGTATTTAACGCGTTAATTTAGAATATATTGAAGCGGATTTTTCATGAGTTTATTTTGTTTCCACAAAATGCCAGCACGAAGTGCCACAAATCCATGAGATTTAAAAAACAGTCAAGTCTTTTATTATTATTTCTTATTATTCTTATTTTTACAGTGTAATATTAAAGATTTAATAACTTTGGATATGAATATTTTACTGATACCGACTGTCTATCATCTCATCAATTCATCTACAGCCTTTAATAGTCCACTGCATGACAAAAGTCTCTCCTTAGAAAGGAGGTTTTGGTTGACTATACCACGCTGGCCAGACAGGTTGGTATAGGGCTTGTTTTAAGTGTTCCTTCTCTTTGCAGTGCTATTTTCCTGCGTAGTTTGCTACCTTAGTCGGCTCTTACGACACCCACGGGATGAATAACTTAATTACCTTATTCTTAATCCGTCACCACACGGACAATCTGTCTATCTGACTATCACAATTTCTATCACCTGTACTCCTCAGATGCAAATCTGCAGGTCTCCATATTAAGTTAAAGATATAATGAACCTTTTGCCTAGTAGTCTTTTTATATATTTTAACATTAAAGTGTCTGTACTCAAACTCAATATTGAAAAAGTTGGAGTAGAACTTATTATAGATTTTTTTGCCACTGGCATTTTGAAAAATTATACGAATTCTCGTATTAGTAAGTATTTAAATATCTATTATAATCTATAAATAAGTATAAATATATATATCCATATATCACTAATAAAAAGGGCTTGAAACAGTTAAAAAAAATTAGATGTAAATATGGGTTAAGATATTCATGTCTGTATATGTCTGTAACTATTATAACTAAGATAGCAACAATTCTCCAGCAATTGTGGTTGCCTCAGAAAAAGGATCGGATCGGAACAGTGTTTCGTATCGCGTCAGTAATTCACTGGAATCTGTTGACAGCCCCGGAATGTAGGAGGTCCTGCAGCCCCTTGGGATGTGTCTTCGGGAATAAGTTGACACAATCTCGACAAACTGGTCGTAGTTTTGCGGGGTTGGTGGGACATTGAACAGGGCGTCATCGATCGATTGCGTAAACGACTCCCAATCAGCCTTGGCATAGTTGAATCGGCGCTTGAAGGGGACATTTATAGATCGGACCACGGATTCGATGCAGCACATAATTGGTCTATGTTGAGTGCGAGGAATAGGTGAACACACTCTTTTAGTGCACTGTGAGCTGATAGAAGAGCTAGCGAAGATTAAATCAGGATTGTACCCGCGTTTCCAGCGACCACTGTTAAAGGAGGCCGGTTGTTTGGCGTCATGGATTAGTGCCAAATCATTCGACTCAGCCCATTCTTCGACTGCATCTCCACTCATATCCGTGTCGTTGTAGCCCCAGTTGGTGCTGCGGCTGTTGAAGTCACCGATTACAACTTTAATTGGCAGGCTACTAAAGTTCTCTGGCGGAGTGAAGTTAAATGTGGTGCCGGGTGGTTTATAAATGGAAGTGATGGAGCAATTACCAACATCTACTGTGATAATTTCTATGCCGTTCTCGTTTGAGCATTTGGTGGAAAGTATGCTTACGCCTGGAGCAGCAAACACTGCGTTACCGTGCTTTGGGTGACAGATCTCGGCGATAAGCGTGAGTCCATCGATGTGTGGCCGGCTTTGGGTTTCATCTCGATGGGTCTCTTGAACGCAAAGAATGTCGCAGCCAGTTTTGCGGCATAAATTGGAAAGAATTTCCGATTTATCTTGAGAGAACCCTTCGATGTTAATCGAGACTACGCACAAAGCCGGTGTTATTGGAGGACTTGGAATTGTCATCGTGGTGAAAGGATTAGCCAGTCAGCGTGGGGATTCGCTGACTGCCCAGGGTGCGCCGGACGTATAGTAGATCAGTGGGTACGTCACTCGGGGAGGCTCCTTTCTTGCACCCCAAAATAGTCGTTGGAGAGCACAGAAAAACGGCCTACCTCAAGGTAGTGTCTTGGCACCGCTTTTATTTAATATCTATACCAATGACCAACCATCCAGCCCACATACCTCCCGCTTCCTCTATGCAGACGACCTTGCCCTTACCTCCCAAGCCACCACCTTTGAAGAGGTTGAGGTGTCCTTGTCAAACGCTCTTGGTGACTTAGCCACTTACTACCACGCTAACTCACTCAAGCCCAATCCGAGCAAAACGCAGACGTGCATTTTCCATCTTCGCAACAGAGAGGCGAGCCGCAAACTTAACATCGTTTGGGGTGGGGTATCCATAGAGCACAGCAACTTTCCAAAATATCTGGGTGTTACTCTGGACAGGTCTCTAACATTCGGCAAGAACTGCAATAACATTAAGCAGAAGGTGCACTCTCGCAATAGTCTTTTGCGGCGACTAGTCTCTTCAAAGTGGGGTGCTTCGCCTGACGTCATGCGGACTACTGGGTTGGCGCTATCTTTCTCTGCGGGTGAATTCGCATGTCCCGTGTGGGGTCGTTCAGCCCATGCAAAGTTAGTGGACACAGCACTGAATGAAACGTGCCGGATAATCACTGGCTGCCTCAAGCCGACCCCGGTACAGATGCTGTATCCACTGGCAGGCATAGCGCCACCAGTAGTTCGCAGAGCGGTGGCGAGCTCTAGCGAAAGAGCTAAAATGGTCTCCGACGCTAGACACCCCCTACACAATAACATCATAGTACCGCAAAGGCTGAAAAGCCGCAACAGCTTTTTAAAGTGCGTACCCCCGCTCACTGGTGAACGCTCTAAGGAAAGACTTAAGTTGTGGCAAGATAGCGTTTCCTTACCCAACCCATTTGTGCCACTTGCCGAAAATCTTCCACCTGGACACGAGCTGCCATGGCTGACCTGGAAGTCTCTAAACAGACTCCGGACACAGGTAGGCCGAAGCAAAGAAAACCTGTTCAGGTGGAGATTCATAGATGAGTCTGCCCTGGAGTGTAAATGTGGTCTTGCCCCACAAACTATGGGGCACTTGATATCGTGTCCAGCCTGTCCTGTTACTTGCACATCACAGGAACTGATGGAGGCTACTGAAAATGCCAAACTCGTCGCCAAATTTTGGGCCGACTCAATTTGAATTGTCATCGACACGCTAAGAAGAAGATAAACTATTTATCAAAGGCCATGTAAATAGTTTTGCCAAAGTCTACATGCCTTGAGGTGAGTTGCGGCGCAGCCCGGCCACAGTCGATTTCGTAATTTGTAGACGTAATAATCAAATGTTATTTCATTGTTGTTGCTGTACCAATTAGATTAAATGTACCACAATTGTATCTTATTAAAAAAAAGCAATTGTTTGTGGGCGGGAAGCACCGTATACGTTGTAGCCCGGCCACGTAACATACGTTACGGCATATAGGTAGGATACTCCGATTTTTTAAATATATAAACGAAAAAAATGTTCCTTTTGTGTTCCTCATTTTTTTTAATGAAAGAAAACGATAACAGAAACGCTCACATAAACAGAAAATGATTTCAAATAAAAATTTGCACAAAGCGCCTTCGCCTCTTCCTTGTTGTTTAATTGCTTACATACTTACATTGCTATTTTAGTAGTTTAAGCGGTTAATGACAATTTTTATTTTAAATCATTTTTTGTTAATGTAAGCGTCTCTTGGTAAATTTTAATGAAAAAAAGAAATAAACAACATGAAAGGAACATTTTTTTAGATTATATTTTAGAACATTCTGAGCATCCTACCTGTATTATACGACTAGTCGTTATACTAGTAGACGTGGCCGGGCTACAACGTATACGGTGCTGCCCGGCCACAAACAATTGCTTTTTTAACAAGATATATTTGTGGTATATAGAATCTATTGATTGTTACAGCGAGAACAATAAAATAAAATTTAATTGATTATCTGTCTATAAATTACGAAATCGACTGTGGCCGGGCTGCGCCGCAACACACTGCCTTGAGCCTTCATTAGCGATTAAGATCAGCTTCATATTTGAAAGTACTGGATTCCAACAGTAGCAGTATAATGCAGTTTAAGCGTTATATAAAAAAAATACATACACCTGAAAGTAGAACGGCCTCCTTTTTTTCGGAAAAATCAGCAAAAAAAGTATTGGTGCTCTGGATTTTTGAGGCTTTCCGTCATTTGCCCTCAGATACCTTCATCAGACTATTGTATAGTATATTTTTTGTGTATGTAAATGTGATTATAGTGTAGACTTATAAATTTAGTTCATATTTAGTAACTTTCTGTAGTAGAATAAATATTCGATCATTATGATAGTCTAGTATAGCATGTTATAAATAAATATTGGTTTGAGAATATTCCGAGAACGATAGTGATTGCATAATAACTTGATTAATAGGAAAACATTTAAATATATAATGAGTACTAATTGGATAACAATTTGATTGAATTAAGACATTATGACCATGATAGTAAAGATATAATAATTTCTAGTTATTAATAAAATAAGGTGAGATACGGCACAGCACGGCATCCAAGGTCATGGCTCGCACTCCATTTTATATCACGCTAAGAGTTACTCTGACGTCTTCGAAATCCTTCTGATGCTCCAGTAAGAATTCCTTCAATTTCGTTTTGAAAGAATACGCACGCATAAAGACCGCAGCGAGTGCTGGCTATCAGGGTCATAAGGGTCATAAGGGTTTTCGTTACTTAGTCTTTATTTTTAAAGGCACAGATTATTCATAAAATACGTAGGTAGGAGTACAAGATACCAATGACATATAGTTGAAAAAGAAACGTTAATATTTATTTTTTTATGACCAGGCATTACATACATTTTCTACTCAGAAGGTTTCAGGAACACACATTCATTTTCAGGAACAAAACATTTCAGGGTATATGACCGTGAAAAATATGCCTGAACCATGTTTGGTGTGTACATACATGTATGACCGTGTGTGCGTGTGTGTGGGTGGGTGGTGTTTCGTGTGTAAGTGAGAACAAAAAGCAGTATAAAGTTTGAACTCTTTAAAATTTAATTAAAAATATGGAATTACTTACAAAAATTGCAATTTGATGTCTGTGTCTACAGATATAACGATGTAAGAACAAAAAACAATACGCTTATACTACTATTGTATTCAAACTCTTTAAATAACTAATCGCGTCCATACCAAGCTTGTGACGTACTTATTTATTTGCGAACATGGGACAGCACAGAACCATACCAAAAATAATTTTTATCTGATTATAGGAACAGAAAACAACATTTATACGAACTAATTTACCAACAAGTGTAACATCAGAACTAATATCAAATTTCAATAAAAATATTTTATGTTTGAACCGGGGCCTAATTTTTAGATAAATCTCGTCGAAAATGTAACGAATATTTATTCATTTTATTTAAAATAAAAAACTTTTTAAGTATTTTGTGTACGTTTTACATACAATTAGTAAATTGCCTAAGAATTGAGGCGTTAAACATTGTTGTAAACTGGCATGTACTGAACATATCATAGTGTTTATTAGAACAATACAAAATAAGATAAAATCTGAAATATAAAATAAAAGTCATCATTACACGAGTTAGTTCTGACGTTATAAACCATGATTGATATTCCGACTGAAATTCTCAATAACTTGTGTGTCCATTTTATTGGCAAGAGGTTCCCTCTATAGCCTGGGTAGTATTGATGCTGTATATACTGTAATTTATCACATTGGGGTCTAGGGTCTTGTATATGAAGCGTGGCAGTTTGTCAACGAGCACCCATAGAGTTCCATCGTCATCAATCTGTAACAAAAATATCAAACGGAATTATAGATGACTTATAGTCGGAACTATTTTACTAAATGATACATTCCGCCTGTGGGTATCTCAGCATGTAAAATGGTTATTAGGACTTAATAATGTAACTATGATTGTGCACTATGAAGTATACCCATTTATGCATAAAGAAAGAACTTTCTTCTTAAACATCCTAACAGAATAGGGTTTTTTTTTTTGTATCGAATGGACTTTAAGCTAAAAATATTTACTTTTATTTGTTCTTTCAGGACATTGATTGATGGGGGCATCCATTATATGCCAAACTATTTTCTGTGCGTCATAGATAATGGTAATCATAGTTAACACGAATGCCACGAGTGACGGCCGTAATGGGCATATGACCGTCTGCATTACTTTTTTTTTTAAGACCCACATTAGGGATTTTATATCCTGTGTCGCGGGGAACTTTACAAACATACATGAACCGGACACAAAGAACACCCAGACCCAGAACAACAATTTGTGGATCGCACACAGTGTCGACCCATGTGGTGATCGAACCCACAAAACTCAGCGAGTAGGAAGCGGTGTGAAACCACTACGCCATCCGTGCAGTAAAATTTGCATAGGCATCAGATATGTTATTCTGTATCTATGTGTAACGGAGTCTTGTATTTAACGATAATAGACAAACAAGCAAACGGTCACCTGAGAGCTGAGTGCAAGTTTATTTCACATCGAATCGCTCTCGACTCTAGACTCGCTCTCGTTTAGCGTTGCGATTGGTGGAGATTTCAGTGCAGGCTAATCGTAGCACCGAACGCGGTCACCGTGACGATCGAGCATAAGTGATATAAACTTGCACTTAGCCCTCTGATGGTAAGTGACTACCGCTACCCAATGACACCTGCAACTCAAAAGACACAAGTACGTTGCGGCCCTTTGACTTAAAGAAAGTCAGGGGGAGGAGGTTTCTACCTAGTGAGGGACAGGACTCGACTCGACATAGATTTGCTTAACACCGATTTTCTGTGAGACCGTGGTATTACTCTGGTCGATCTAGCCCACATGTGTCGGCACATTGCCGTTTTAATGCTATGGTACTGGAAGGAATGAGCGGCACCCCTAGTTAATTAGTTAACCCCTAATTACTCAGTTCCTGCACAAAAGTATTAATTATCAGCCTATCGCCGTCCACTGCTGAAAGCCTCCCCAATTAGGGTCAAGCATCCCGGTTTCGTGGCAGTCCGCATCCATCCGCTAATTTGTAGGCTGCCAAATCCAATAAGCGAGTGGCGTGCAATAGGACAGGCATGTCCAGCAGAGGACTGCGATAGTCTGATGATGATGTTGATGAAGGCTGCCAGCCCCTTTCTTCAAGTTTTCGGTACATCGTGGGTAGTGGTCAGGGAGCCCTACACTACTACAATTTGCCTAATCATGGTCTTTATATTTAGTAAAAAATTCGTATTACCTTTAAGTCGTTCGGGAACTCGTAAAGCGTAGGGTCGCTGAAGATAAGCGGGTTATTTTCAACCGTGTAAGGCTTGTTCGAATTCCAGCATCCTACTCCGTTACGGTTAATCTGAAAATATACAGTCACAATCACTAAAAACTAAAGATTAGCATATCTTGGACAACATTTATTAGTAAGAAATATTGATTTACTAAATTAAATATTTAATGTGTAGTAGTCAGCCTTATAGATCATAAAGTGTGCCTAAAACCTCTTTAGCTCGGATTATATGGCGCCTTAAGAACGTCACATCTATTTTTGTATTATAAGCAATTTAAATCTTATCACGCGTTTTGTAAACTGAAATTTCGTCGTTTAAGATCAACCCTATATGACCTGCGGAATCACAGCGTGTAAAGAAGCATTAAAAAAAAGCAAAATCATTGATCTTTTGTTGCGTTAATTCTGTTATTATTACTCAATGGCCTTAAACTATTAAATTAGTATGTGCGCTACGTAGTTTAATGATCTTTTAATGAGTTTTTTCCTATTAATGATTTTAATTAGATTAGAAAAGAATCAAAGAGTAAATATCGTAAATTTAAAAAGATGATGCCTTTCAATTTGATAATATGTATGTCTAACTATAAGTCTAACAGTCTAACTATGTCATTCCGAGTCACGGAATGACAAGGTTAGACTGCACTGTTCATGAACATACAATAATGACATAATTATTAATTATATTACATTTCCTATTATAAAAAAGCTAGTTACGAAAGCAGTACGTACTAATAAAATATTATCTCAGTCATACGGGATAATTAAAGATTATTTATACCTATTGTATATTTTACAACCAGCTAAGATGTAAAGCTCAGCATAGAAGGTTTCATGGGTGAGTGCAATACTCGTATAATGTGCAAATCAGCCGACCGGCACTTAATGTATTTCAAAATATGTAGACATACATATACAAACACGTAGACATTTATGTAAACATTTATATAGTATCTTCGAATGAAACGACTCATATAACAGTGACCGAACTTCACTTAAGAAGTTCGTTTGACCAAATTTTGCAGTTGCTTAATTTTCAAAGAATGTCCGAAAATAACCTTAAAAAAATTGGTTGCCTGTAAAGTCGGTATACGGGCGAAAGTTTTACGTGACAACGACTATGTCTGTCTCTCTCGCTCTTAGGCGGGCTAACCATGCCCGATTGGAAGGGACGCGTGCCTCTCACTCGCTCTCATTGTGAGCGCATAACGTGAGCGGAGCGTAACGCAGTTTCTTGAAGTGTCACCCGGCAAACCAATTTATAAGACGTTGTCACGTCAAAATGAATATATTTAAAAAACATATTAACTATTTACTTAAATGGTGAAATAGTTAATTGCACTGAGTATAGTTGAATATTTAATTTTTGTACCTTTACTCTTCAATAATGATTATTTATTATTACAGATAATCAGCTAAATCAGTTTTAAGTCTTGCTATATTTCATGAGTATGTGTACATTAATTAGAATCAAGGTAGTGAAATTTAAATTCAATTCCCTAGGATACTTTATTATAACCTTATTTATCTTAAGAGCTGTTAGTCTCTTACTGACAATCGTTCAAAAGCATAGCAAAACATAAAAAACAAAATGGGCACGTGCGCGCCGATTCGTGTTAAATATAAATCACATTGTGTGACATATCCTGTTTAGTTCCAGAAATGCATGAACTGTAATATAAATAACGGACACGTTATCTTTCTTGTTATAGAATAATTATATTAAATTGATAGTCATCAACAGCCTATACTAGTCCACTGCTGGACATAGGCCTCTCCTTAGAAAGGAGGTTTTGGCCTACTATACCACGCTGGCCAGACGGGTTGGTATAGGGTTTGTTTCAAGTTTTCCTTCTCTTTGCAGTGCTGTTGTCCTGCTTAGTTTGCTCCCTTAGTCGGCTCTCACGACACCCACGGGATGAATTTGGGTGGTGACAATTTGTATTCTTAATCCGTCACCACACGGACAAAATTGATAGTACATGATTTATAATAATAGAATACAGTACTCATAGAATAAACATTATAAGTAGTACGAACAGTTTCGCTAAATTTCTTAGAACAGTTTTTGTCCAGCTTCTTATGCATACAAAAATAGATATGAAGGTTAATATCTTGGTCGTATAGTCACGACAAATAATTAAATACATAATGAACGGTATTCAATATAACGGTATATTATTTATTATTTATAATTCTATACGAAGGCTGGATGTAATGTAATACATTCACTTTGAACGTAGACTCATTTTACGTAAATTCCTATGGTCACCTGTTCATTTTCATTTTGTTTAAATTGGAAAGCATTACATTGTAAGATATTTACTGTGGTGTCACCTCTTTTCTATAGATTACGTAGACCCACGCCACCCAAAGGGCGATTAAAGTATTTTATAGGACCAGCAACGCGTGCTTGACACCATTGGTGTTGCAAATCGTCGGATCGTATGTCCTGTCCTGCCTCTTATGATCTTGTATTAAAAAAAAACTCTGCATTGTTAAAACAAAATTCATATAATATAGTTTCAGAATTATTAAACGTTTTAAAATATACAATTAGATTTCTTTAAGCAATACGAATGAATGCATTCAATCCAGACTTAAATATTTGTTGTGACTATATTATCAAGATACAACCTTCGCATTGGTGGTTATATGTATAATAAGGTGTGCAAAACCATTCTAAAGACATTGTTACACTGATTGTACTATCTATTATGTATTCTATGATCATATTTGATATTATACTACATCATATCAAATATGGTAATTAAATGTACTTACTTAAACAGAAAAGGACAAAAAATTACCAGTATTTATTTAAAAAAATATTCAAATGAAATTAAATGATTTTTGTTTAATACGATACTAGGTTTTAGCTTCCTCACTATGAGTTATAGTTTGGTTGCATTTAAATTTATTTTTCATTTTTTTATTTTATATTCCTATAATTTCGAACGACTTTCATTGTTAATCCTAAACCAATACATTATAATATTATAAACTAACATTATAAATGTGAAAGTATATATGTCTAAATAGAAATAAATAAAAGAGAAAATAGAATAAAAAATATCATTTCATTGACGATGAAAGATCATGCAATTTTAAAGTCTTCTGGTAATAGGTATTTAGAGGCAAAATAAGGCAAAGACAGATAAATAAATAAGACTAAAATTACCTGCGTATAAAACAGCACATGTGTTTTGGGATCGTAGAAGCTGGCAGCCGACTGTGTACGTTCACCCCTATCACCCAAGAGCTGTAAAAGAACCAATAAATATATAAATATTTAATTCCTTACACTATCTACTTCTACTATTTAAATGGAGATAAACATAAAGCAATATGGCAAATTAATCACTTTATACTCAAAATTTGCAAGTGTTTGATGGAGAGTCCCTTACGAAGTGATCGGTTTCCCCAATGCGATAAATTGCAATCATACACATGCACTTAATATTTCGAGTGTTCGATATACGTAATTCAACAAAAAAATATACCTTAAACTATCAATAAAAATAAATAGATTGGTTCAAACAAAATGCCAGAGTTATTATTAACTCCACATGATGTGAACGAACTTTCTATGTGCGTAATATATTAGCGATCATACGTGATTGTACTATCTCACTAATAAATAATTCAACATAAGCATAACATAAATTTTGTATTCAAACCTTGAAGTCATGGAAAGCCTCGTTCTTGTCAATGCTCTTGTAATTGCGTAGTAACTCAGTGGACACGCAGAACTCTTTGGTGCTGGAGAACGCGTGGAAGAACGTAGTTCTGTACCTGTGATAAGCAAAACAATTGTCCATTGTAAGAAGGTTTTGTAATTTTCTTATTTAGCATTATATCATTTAAACGAATCTAATGACCTCAGTGTCGAACAAGCCTTTATGTATTATGGGGTCAATGTCAGGTGGTCTTGTTGTTGTTTTCTCTCACGATGTCATGATAATTTATTAATATATTACCAATTAGTTCAACATTTGCAATTGAGATTAAATTATAATATCGGTATTATAAATTAATGAAGCTATTGTTTCTAACATACTTTTTTCTTTTAAAAACAGGCAAACGACTTCTAAACAGGTATCTTAATTGTGGTAAATCCAAACAAGCTGTATTCTTTATTATTTCACTTTTTTAATTTTGAATTTAATAGGCTTTTTTCCTCAATTTCTCCAGGATTTGATCCTAACCTGATAACAATGTAACCACCTGGTATACTATATACTATCAAATAGGACATTTTTTTATTATTATACAAAACTATAATCCTAGATAGAGATTATTATTATTATTATTATTATAGATCAGTTTAGAAACTATTCCTTGATTTGAAATCGATTAAAAAATTTAAACGTGGAAAAAGTTAGTGGACTAATGATCAATTAGGCTAACACAAGCGAAAGACTTTTGGTTAATATTTATTATACCTATGTTCTTACATATATAATGAGTGATTTCATTTTTCATTCTCATAACTCATGTAATTTTCGAACTATTAACTGGTTTCCAGCAATACTCATTGCAATATCAGTGCTATGTTACATCGTATACATGGTATAGTCACAGAATAAATAATAAGATGTACAAGTAAAAGGGAGTTCCACAGCCACTTTAACGCTACTCACGTCATCTAATACACATACAGTTGCCTAAACCAGTTATGAATATTGATCGTCACTCCATACCGTTGTATTTGGATAATCTCGTTTTCGGAATCTTTGTGCAAAAAACTATCGCCGTATAGTAGAAAAGCCGGTAATGACCCTAAATGTTTTGTAGCATACTGACACGTACCTAAAACATCATACTCTTACGTCTTTTTATTACTAAAGAGGTAGACTGAGGCATATGAAAATGTCCAATTTTTATTTTTTATTTTATAAAGACAACTCCCGCATTAAACATACATATATCCTGTCACAGGGGACTTTACACATAGATTAAACGGACATAACGAATACTCAGACTCCTTTGCGGGGATCGAACCCACAACACTCACCGCAGTAGAAAGCGGTGTGGCGATCGCTTAATCCACTACTCCATACGTGCAGTAAAACTTTTCTGACTGTCCTAAATTTTAGTCAGCCGGGCACATATTTCCAAATAAACATAGCAATAAATTACAGGCAGAAACAGCACAAATGATGGTGCTTATCACACAATATTAGTTCCAGCTGACTTAGCAGTCAGAATCGCCAACCACTAGACCAACAGTCCCGTAAAAACGTAAATTTGTAATGAAATACATTTACATTAATAATACTAATATTTTTGGACATCTAACACACAACGCCATCTAGTTCCAAACTAAGCAGAGCTTTATAACAAATAATTAACAAACGATTGCGGACTTATATTACCCTAATGTCGTATGTGAAAACAATTTTGATAAGAAAAGTATTAAAGGATTTCCTTGCACTTATAAATGAAAAACTGATGTGTAAATGTAGATGAGATGAGATGTGTAATGTGTAGATACAGAAGGCATACACACCCGTCTTCTCTGGGCTCCGATAAAGCTAAGGCGAAGACACCATCGGTCCACTGGAACTCGATACCACTGACATTGTAGGTTCCGGCTAGAGGTTCAAAGTGGAAGTAGTGATGAGCGATACGCCACGACTTGTCCTGTTTCAAACTGTATACTATGACACCGTAACCGCCTAGGTCAGGAATATACGCATATGCGTCATCGCATGTGTCTTTTGTCACGTCCACAACCTGAAATACATAGTTTTGTAAATTGATTTGCATCTAGAAGTCCATGTCCTGAAGGAAACCAGAAGAGTTAAAGAAATAAAAAAACTTGTTAGAGTATCATATCAAACATCAGACCAAAAAGTGAAGCAAAAAGGTTTTGGTTTCCTGTTGTCCTATATAGTTTGATTCCTTAACCGCCTCTTACGACACGATGAATAGGTATGGTGACACTCCGTATTCTTAATCCGTCACGCGGACAAGTTGTTAGAGCACAGAAAAACGCTTATTGCTCTCTTTTTATAGAACTAAATTCATTTTCAATTGAAAGAACTTACAATGTTGGCCAAGAAAGAGTCTTCTTTCAGGTCAGTAGTTTTGCAGCTGTAGCGATGTATCAGCTGATCAGTCTTCAAGTCGAAGATGACTATAGAAGGCCCAGTAATTTGATTTCCATTACCTATAAGATAATAATGATTTTTAATAACACTTACAGTTTATTTTTAAGTTGCCGTAGTAGGTGGACACCATAACAATGTGTGCTTGTAAAGTGCGCGAGAATATTAATTTTTGAATTTGTGATGGCTGAACTTCGTGCATTTTAATCCGACTTCTGAAGGTAAAAATTCTCAAATCCATAGATTTTTTAGGTTAGCAGAAATACTATTTTTGTTACTTAATCCTTTCTACTTAAGATTAATCTATATGATTTCTATATATATATATATATATATATATATATATAGAAATTATATAGATTATTTATATATATATATAATTTCTATATAATATACTGTAATTTAAATAGGACTATTTGAAGAACATATTCTACTTCTAAGAGTGGCAAATAAAGTACTTATTACAATATATCATGAGTTAGACGCATTGAGGTCGGTAATACAAACATACATTTACGTGTTTATCCAAAAAATTGTATCCGTATTAAAAGCCCACGTTTTGCTAATTATAATTTTAGTCCGACTTGCTTAAAAGAAAGCAAGCTTTCTAAAATTTAATGTTAAGAAAACAATTTAAAATTTTAGAATTTGAAACACTAATCATAAGTCAAAAAACGTACGGACGAATTAATTTTATTAATATGCATCGAGATGTGGGTAAATACGGTTTGGATGACTTTTAATATCAAGAAATAAGTTCTTTCTCTCACTCCACAACTAAAGATAATTTAATTCACGGAAGCAAAAACGCACAAAACAAAGCATCCGGAACACGGCATTTAATATAATAATAAATACTGTTGATTATTTTAAAATTACTTAAATTCATTTTATAAGTAGGTATCTAGTAAGCATAGTGCGTGCAATATTTGTTGTTGTTGTTTTGTAGAGGTCAGTCGTTTTTGATTATTTTTTTACTCTTTCTTTTATTTTTACAACTTATAAGCCAAGGTCAAACGCAAAGACATAAATTATTATGACGTTATAAATTTTAATGATAGTAATAATTATTTTATTATATTTATCCGTTCTGTCTAAGTACGTGGATATAAATGTAAATAATATATTTCTGGACTCAAACCAAACCTAGTTTATACTTAGCCTCGTATAACAATGTAAGCGTCTGTCTTAAGTAGTCTATTGACTTAAACTGCTAAATAATTAAATTAATTCTTACCAAGGATGTCAGCGAGTCCGGTATCAACCATCCAGAGTCTGTCACACGGGTCTACAAACAATCTGAATACAGAAACTAAGGAGGTGTTGGATGGTAATTTATTCGCAGAATCAGGGATAAAATTATCCTTAAAAGATGGGTATGGCTTCAGCAGTTGGTCTTGCGGGCCGTCCAAGTCAATGTAGTTAAGTGTGGAAGCAACGCCTGCCTTCCATCTTGGTATGCTAACAAACAATTTGTTTCTCCACCTTACTAAACCTAACGGAAGATTGTTCTCGGGTATAAACTTCTTTTCATTGATAGCGTTCGTTCTGCTTTCTGGTGAGTCCCATGTGTAATCCACCTGTTTCCATGCAAATCTGAGTTGTGGTGTTGCTGCTTGGCAGATAGATGTTACCGCGAGGGCTACAAGCAAACTTAAGGCCCTCATTTTTATTCTGAAAAAAGAATTTATACTTAAGTAATCATATAAATAAATTAGTAATGCATTTTATTTTAAATCACAGAACTGAGAACTTATTAATAATATGAATAATTATTAATTAATATTTGATTTTCCGCTTTCAAATATTTGCATTCGTTATCATAATAATCGTGATATCGCAGAATACAATACAGACTTCCCATACGGACTGATTAACTTACATTTTTTATTACATTACATTTTACGAGACTACTATTAAACGTCCGTGACTATTGGACTTGAGCACTTAATCACTCGGTTAAGTGTTCGAGTTCTAATCTTGTATTACAAGTCATCAATTGAAAATTATTATTAAAATTTTTATCATTCCAGATAAATATTATTAGTGGTAAATGTGCAGACTGGACACCTACAACTCAAAAGACAATTGTGTTTCCTACAACTCATGAGACACACTAGTATTTCCTACAACTTAAAAGATACAATTGTATTTCCTAACTCACAAGACACAGTTGTGTTTCCTACAACTCAAAACACACAATTGTCTTTTTTTTTTCTTTTTTATTTAAAAAGACCACTCCCGCATTAGGAATATATCCTGTTAAGCGGAGGACTTTACAAACATACATGAAACGGACACAAAGAACACCCAGACTCAGAACAACAATTTGTGGATCACACAAAGTGTCGTCCCATGTGGGGTTTCAACCCACAACACTCGGCGTAGTAGGAAGCGGCGTGGTGACCGCTTAAACCACTATGCCATCCGTGCAGTCAGTCAGTCATTGTATTTCCTACAACTCAAAAGACACAATTTTATTTTCTACAACTCAAAAAACAATTGTGTTTCCTGCAACTCAAAAGACACACTTGTATTTCCTACAACTCAAAAGACACAACTGTGTTTCCTACAACTCAAATAACACAACGGTGTTTCCGCCTTTGAGTGCCTCTTCCCGCCTCCCTCATTAGAGGTTTGGGCTGCCGGTTTCCACACTCGGTGAAAAGCAACGAAGGAATTGCTAACATCGGTTTTCTGTAAGGTGCGGGGTTCTCTGAAACGGGACCGACGACCGGCGCCGATCGTCGGTCGTGTGTCACAGAACCTCGCGCCTGAGTCGGTGTCACTCCAGTCGAGGTGGCCTCACATGTACAGAAGCAAGACTCCCACGGCTCTATAATATTAATTGTTATTGTAATAATTGACCATAAAGTTTATATTTCAAAAATAATCTTAATGTTTCACATCTACTCATAAGTAACAATAACTCTTAATTGTGTGGTCATATTAAACATAATTTTAAATTATAAATATAAAATGTAATCTACCGTTGATAACTATTATTTGGCTACTCATGCAATCGTAGTTAAATACCTTGTTAAGAGTTGCAGATGTTGTTATCCTTAAAAATAAATAAATATATGTTACTTTCCTAGTTACAGTTAATCTGTTAAATATTAGCATTAAATATAGTTCGGAAATAGATACAATAAAAAATAATAATTCCGCCGTCGTACTCCATATTGTCCGATGTTTATTGGAACTGTAAATAATTAATATTTGCTAATAAGCTAATTTAATTGTAGATAACAGGACAAGATTATATATGAAATAATAATAAAGGACTTTATTGTACACCAGGTAACTACAAAAAATAACTTAATACTAGATAAAATAAGTTTAAGTACAAGTTCAATATACATAATAAATAGTCATAAGTATTATATTATTTAATATGATTCTATTTTATGTAATTTTTTTAAGACATTTATTGTCATCCTAACTAATCGTGTATGCTCGATTTCGGGATAATTCAGATGCAATGTTTAACCCAAAAAAATAGCAAACAACCATTACAAATTTAAAAGCTTGCAATAATATAAGCCACAGTTTTATACAGTGATATACATAAACTAATTTCGAGTTACTGATATCATGCACTTCGAGGCAATGCTCTCAAAAAAAAACTCTTTTTATATCGTCCAATTTGTAATAGGTATTTATTTGTGTGTTATTATCACGGAAGTTTTGTAATTTAACTTTCAATTACTTACAATTTAATGAGGACCATTAGTGCACTAAATCTCGTACACAAAAGCATCTACCGACCTTATCAAGTACGATTTAAATCTTAATTGGTGTTTATATACACTACAATTAATTACAATGAATAACTCAATATGCTACATGGTTATTATGTATATCGAAGCTTACTAGGACTGAGTAATAAAAATGAAATAAGTTACATATAATCACTGTTTCTCATCATATCCTCAGATTAAAGTAATGAGAAGAGACTAAAGATGTATCATCGTCAAGAGAGCGTCGTTAGTAGGTACATATTTAAAATAATGTTTAGAAAGTCGATGTATTGTATTACAATATAATAATATCGACTTACTAAACACTGAAATCAAAATAAAATTAAAATGTATTCCACTTATTGGCACTTATTGATCGAATAAATTTCAAATACATTTAATTTTTTATCGATTATATAATATTTAAGACAATATACAAAAATTGATCATTTCCTAAAACCATACAGTTAAAAGTAAAATAAACAAAAAACAGTTCTTTACCTATAGATGGTATTGATGTTGATCTAAAAGTAGTATTGAAGTAAATAAGCGCTTATGGATATACTACAAAATTTGACTACGTGAATATTGTTTACTACATACATTATTAAGTAAATATATTTTGAGGTAAGGGTAAATGTTTTGATTCTTTTTTAACATTTCCCGTTTCAAATGAAATTTTAATACATGAGTTTTATAGATTTTTATAAGACATTTATGAAACCCCTTATATACATACATCTACAACACTCGATAGGTTTACCCTCACAATTAAGACGAATTTAAAGACACCTCTCAAGCCATAACCTATTTCTTTTTCATCAACAGCCTTTAATAGTCCACTGTTGGACAAAGACCTTGGAAAGGAGGTTTCGGCCTACGATACCAAGCTGACCAGTTGGGTTAGTTAGGGAACCGGGCGGCGGAGGCCCGCATATCACAGCCTCATGCCGCCCTGAGTGTGGCCGCGGGTGGACGGGGTGGGTTTCCCCTCCACCCGCATTAGTTTGGCCAGCCGCGAGGGGGCGGCGTCCGCGTGTGCCGGACGTCGCCTAAAGAGAGGAAAAATATACTGAGACGGAGCCCGCACCAGGAGCGGGCTGGCGCTAGGAGGGGTCCGGATGTCTTAACAACAGCTGTGCCCGGATCCCTCCTGTTACAGGCGCAGAGTGGCACACCGTGTGGTTTTAGTCGGTCCGAGTCCGACACACCACCCCGCCGCAAACCCCGGAGGGGTGACGGTCCGAGGGGATTTCCACACGTTAAAAAAAAAAAAAAAAAAAAAAAGGGTTTGTGTCAAGTTTTCCTTCTCTTTGCAGTGCTAGACAATTCTTTTATGGAGTAAAAGAATTGTACCGTTCAACATTTCCTTTTACTCCAGTTTTGTTACTGTTATTAATTTCTTGACAAACTACAGTAGGTACTGTAAATTGTACCATGCAACATATAAACAAGCATTTTATACTAGTTTTGAATCAAGTATAGAACAATGCGAATTTTTGACACGGAGCATAAAACAGTTTTTATGTTCCATGGTGAACAATACGTGTAGAACAATGTCTATTTCATTGCCTTTTAATCTATTGCCTGAATGTGATAAAATTAAGTTTGTATTCAGTTGTCAAAATGAGTTAGTCACAAAGATTATTATGGTCAAAATGGAGTTATCGTGTTAAAGCTAATACGGACCTTGTCGTAACTTACTTTTTGTTTTCCACGCTATAATATATATCTAACAATCACATCTATGAATGTAATTTTATATTCTCGGATATTTACATCCACCTCTAGATACAATCTAAGAATAACTTGTAATTCTGTTTTAGGAGACTGAAAAATAAGACTATATATAAAAATTCTTTTATTTTCTAACTACGCAAATATTCACTAGCTTTTTCCCGATATTTCACCCGCATAAGTTTAATTAAGTAATTTTTATTTTAAAATAATTTGTAATTACTTTTTTGTATGAACGGTACCCTATCTCTAATGTAATCTTAATGTTCATTATGATCTGGTGAACGGTACGGCAGGATAAAATAGGAATGTACAACGGTGAAAAGAAAAAAACATTTTTAAATATTGGACGGGACAATGCAATTGCTCTAAACGGAGCCAAACCACGCGATCCCCAATACTGCGTTTGAATTTTTAAAACAGCGCTACATTAGGGTATACATCGTCAAAGATAAGTTTTCAATGTTTGTTTCAAGATTTTTATGTTTAAAGAATGTTTCTAAGTACAAAAAAATAACTCCAGCATCATCAAAATAATAAGAAACAAAGGAATTTTCTTAATTAAATTTCGCGGCAAGTATTTTTTGAATAGAGATAATTGTATTCTCTGCTGCGAGGTGTTGTAACTTGGTAATGACTAATGACAGTATTGTGAAGCGGAGCATCTCTCAAACTCTATAATAACACTTGACTCACGTTTTTGCAGATGGCTCGATCTTACTGTTGAGAAACAACATAGTTGTCTACACAATTCTTCCTTATCGAGTCGATCGAGCTTGTTATGTATTCGGATATCATGGGAACTGTGGCAACTTACGTAAAACCAAATAAAAGGAACTTTACTCGGTTTATAAAGTCACTTGTGCGAAATATGTAATTACTTATATACCTATACTGTTTATTCATTTTACGTTTTTTTAACACGCTTTTAATGGTATATGTTTGCAAGTATGTAAAAGAATTGAAAAATTTAAACTTATCAAGGACCGATGCCAATACAATAAATTGATAAATTTGGCAGATTATCCTGACTTCTGACTTTTTTCCATCCCTAAAAATACGATAGTGTCTTTTGCTACGTACTAGGAGGCGTGTGCTGAAGCATATGTGACTTCCTTGTTACTTCTTTAGTCTCAATGGAAAAATAATCATTATTAATAACTAAAAAAGTAAAACTAAATTATAGTTTACAAA